CTGTGATGAGGCAGCCCCTTGTTGGTGGATGTTTTACAAAGCATACAAAGTTTTAAGGAAGTTTTGAGGCTGGTCTTGTAAAGCAGGTAATAGAACAAGCTGATGGCTAGAGAAGGCTGCCTTGCATAATTTTAAATATTTTTCAAAATGCCTATCGGAGGCAGCTGCAGAGACCTGAAATCTTTGTGGCCTTGCATCCCCCAAAAAGCATAAGAAAGAGCAGCCCTTTTCACACATGCTCTGCCCCACCTGATCTCTCTCATCTTCCACTGAGTTTTTCCTACTCACAACCACGCATTGGTCCCTGTTGGACTTCACCTTGCTGGTTTCTTCCATTTTGGTTCATTAAGATCTTCTTGAATGATGATTCTGTCTCCATTATTTTGTACTGTGAAGAAATAATCCTATTTTCTCCTCCCTCTTCCAGGTCATTTATAACTTATGTTCAGCATTGCTGTCGGCATTTGAGCCTTTTTCATTTCTCTTTGCAGAAGACCAGTGAAGATGTGGCCATGAGCTCCGCAGAGGAGAAGGGGTGTCCTTGGATTGGGACCCGCCAACTCCATTCTAGAGAATTTGGAAATCGAGGCCTAGTTGGAGAAGCAGCTTCCTGCACAAAGGGCCAATCGGTCAGACTCGATCAGACCGGTCAGCAGTGAGGATCATATCTGGCCTTGATTCAGAGCGGTAACGAGTGACCCAGAGACCTCTTAGCTGCAACTTTAAAAGTGAGTAAACATATAATAATAATAATAAAGTTGGAAAGGACCTTGGAGGTCATCTAGTCCAACCCCCTGCTCTTTCATTTTCTATCTTTCATTTCACTTTGGGGAAGCTCTCTGTAGCTTTATTTTCTCTGATCAGCCAAGGTCCTTTTACAAGTGTCTGGGCTGTTGCACCTGACTCCCTCTTCTTTGGGGCAGCCCCTGAGATACTGGAACACTGCTATCATGTCCCCCCTCGTCCTTCTCTTCATTAGACTAGACATACCCAATTCCAGCGGCCTTTCCTTATATGCTTTAGCCTCCAGTCCCCTAATTATCTTTGTTGCTCTTCTCTGTACTCTTTCTAGAGTCTAAGCACAATCAGGGCCAACCAAAACACTGGGTGTGTTTTGTGTGGCTGTGTGTGTGTGTGTTTGTGTATTGGAAAGAGGACTTCAGTCAGGGCACCCGAAAAGAGACTCAGCCCCAGAAGATCAGATAGGAAAGAAGGAAGGGGAGACGGCTCAGATTTGGCATTTCATTCTTCTGCGGGTGCAACAGCCCAGCCACTCGTAAAAGGATCTTTGCTGATCAGAGAAAATAAAGCTACAGAGAGCTTTCCCAAAGTGAAATGAAAGATATGTTTACTCACCCTTAACGTTGCAGCTTGGAGAATGGCGCAAGGCTGCAAAGGCCGTTGATCTGGGGCTGGAGGTCGCATTTCTCGCTGGCAGTGGTGGAGCTGGGCTGGGGTCAGTGCAGCTGGCTGAAACGGCTGAAGTCCCCCCCCCCGTGTCCAGATAAGGGCCACCTCTAGCCCCAGTACGGCGGTCAGTCAGGGCTTCTTTGCGTGGCCAGGCTGAGGTGGCTCAGGCTTCCAGGGGGGGCTACAGCTTTGCCTCCCCCTTCAGCAGACCTGAACTCATAGGTGGCCTGGGCCAGTTCCCCAGGACCTCCCCCCACCCCGGAGAACCCCCAGAGCCTTTGCTAGGGCTGCCCTCCACTTAGCAACCCTCAGGATCACTTAATGGGCACAATCAGGAGTGTGCATTAAGGTCCTTGAACCAAGTGGTCTCTCCCCTCACTTAGTAGCTGCTTCATTGAATGACCAAGATTCCAGTGGTCATAGGTTGAGGACTGCCTCTACTTTCAGACCTTCTTCCCCTTGTCTTAGGACAAGAAAGAAGCAGGGAAGATCAGAGTCGATGAACAGCAGAAGAGTTTTCCTTCCTAGAGATGTCAGGGCTCCATCGTGGGTGTACTGAGTGCCCATGTCCTGCTCAGGGTGGGACTGGAAGACCTTCATGGTCCCTTTCAAGTCTAAGATTTTGTGACTCTCTACCACTCTCAAAAGGAAATATTATTCTCATCTTCTTTTTCGTTCCACCAGCAGAAAAATAAATGTGACCTGCAAGCCAACTATCAACAGATAGTAGAAAATCAGCACAGGGCAGCAGCTACCAGAAAGGATGGAGCCTGGGAAACTCTCGGATCCCCCGTCAGACACAGGCAGCACCCCGGAAAACCATGAAGGAAGCCATGAATGCTCAGAGTGTGGGAAATCCTTTCCTCGGCGGTCCCTCCTTTTGACCCACAGGAAAGTCCATGTGGGAAGTGGATCCAGTCAAGGTTTGGAAGGTGAGAAATCCTTCTCTGGAAAAAAACCCAAAGATCTCAGATGCCCCCCCAGACTAAAACCTTTTAAATGTGAGGAATGTGACTTATGCTTTGGTCAAAAGCCACAGCTTTTTAGACATCAGAAAATCCACACTGGAGAGAAACCTTATCAGTGTCTGGAATGTGGGAATTTTTTCCGTGAAAAAGCCACCCTCAGAGACCACGAGAGAATTCACACAGGGGAGAAACCTTATAAGTGTTGGGAATGTGGGAGGAGCTTTTCTTGGAAGTCATATCTTTGGATCCATGGGAAGATTCATGCAGGAATAAAATCTAACAAATGTTTTGAGTGTGGAAAATGTTTCACCCTGAGTAAATATCTTCACAAGCATGAGAAAACACACAGAGGGCAGAAAAGCGAAAAGTGCCTCGAATGTGGGAAATGTTTTTACTGGAAATCATGCCTGGTGAAACATCAGAGAATTCACACCAGAGAAAAACCCTATGAATGCCCAGAATGTGAGAGACGATTTGTTAATTCTTATGGGCTTCGGACACACCAGAAGAGGCACAAAGGGGAGAAACCCTATCAATGTAGGGAGTGTGGGAAAAGTTTTGTTACACAACGTGAGGTTCAGATTCATGAAAGAATCCACACAGGGGAGAAGCCGTACCAATGTGGGGAGTGTGGGAAATGCTTTTCCCAAAAACACCACCTTGGAATCCATCAGAGGGTCCACACAGGAGAGAAGCCGTACAGATGCCTAGAATGTGGAAAATCTTTTGCTCAAAGTGGGGATCTTTGGACACATCATAAAACACACACAGGGGAGAAGCCACATCAATGCAACGAATGTGGAAAATTTTATCGTACCACATCAACCCTTTGGAATCATGTGAAAATTCACACAGGGGAAAAAAACTACAAGTGTTTAGATTGTGGGAGAACATTTGCTCAATCATGTCACCTCAGAAGCCACAGCCGAATCCATACAGGAGAGAAGCCCCATAAATGCTCGGAGTGCGATAAATGTTTTTCTCGGAAAGATACTCTTGTGATGCATCAGCGCATCCACACTGGAGAGAAACCATACAAATGTCTGGAGTGTGGAAAATGCTTTTCTCAAAAAAACCACCTTGGAACCCATCAGAGGGTCCACACAGGAGAGAAGCCGTACAGATGCATAGAATGTGGACGATTCTATCGTACCTCAACCGCCTTTAAAAGTCATATGAAAATTCACACAGGGGAAAAAAACTACAAATGTTTAGATTGTGGGAGAACATTTGCTCAATCATGTCACCTCAGAAGCCACAGCCGAATCCATACAGGAGAGAAG